AGTATCATGCCCAGATAATTCTATATCAATTGATATATGAACCTCAGAAGAAGAATTGGGGCCCTACGTTTAAATGTGGAGGTCATTGTCATGTAGATGTGGGTGAAGCCATACTTGTAGCAAGATGCTCCAGGGAGCATTTCAATAAAATGAAGTACTGTAGAGTACTAAGGAAGGAAGATACCTGTGGATCAAGTTGAAGATGCAGGGTCACAAAAAAAGACTGGGAAAAGTAACTAGAGAGAATTGAAGAATAAGTCTGATTAGTTCCCTTTTAAATCCAAATTCTTGGTCCGGCATGGTGGCTGATGCCTGTAATCCCAGCACTTTGGGAGGCCAGGACAGGCAGATCACCTGAGGTCGGGAGTTTGAGACCAGCCTGGCCAACACGGCAAAACCCCTTCTCTACTGAAAATACAAAAATTAGCAAAGCATGTTGGGGTGCCTGGAATCCCAGCTACTTGAGAGGCTGAGGCAAGAGAATCACTTGAACCCGGGAGGCAGAAGTTGCAGCGAGCCGAGATTGCACCACTGCCCTCCAGCCTGTGTGACAGAGCAAGACTCTATCTTAAAAAAAGAATCTAAATTCTTATTAATACATTCTAGAAGTTGATAGGGAATCGAAATTAAGCTTCTCTCCCGGTAGTTTATAAAAAACATTCTTTTTCTCCTTTTAAATTTTGGGACATTTGCCCATCTGGTTTCTGGCATCTATCCCATTCTCTATAATTTCTGAAAGATTACCAGCAGGTTGTATGCAAGCCATCGTAATTTTTATAGCAGAAAATCTCTTCCTCTTAGGTGAAACAAGAAGTTTTAATTTAATTTTCCTTTACCTAAATGCCACCAAAGGAAAGAAGCCACTTAATTATCTGTCTTTTAAAACATGTTTCTCATTGCATTTGCAAAGGTTTACAAGGAATACATCTAGTGCTTAATTGCTTGTGGCTAGGGAATACAATCATTCTTCTAGAGTCTACCAAATATTTATTGTGATTGCCTCAGCCTAGGGTTCAGGCACATACCAGGAAGACTGAAACTAATTGAGCCCAAGCCCCTAAGCTATTAAAGAGTGGCAGATTCGTGTTGAAAAACAGGGGTTATGTCAAGCGTTTGACATTGTAGGTGTTTGTTAATGTATTTTTTGGTGTGGCTGGGAAAAAAACCTGATTGACAGAACTCATTCTTTGCAACATAATTATCTACTTCTTTGGTGACCCATCTGCTCCCCTTAACAGCGTGCTAATACTATCATAAAACAATTAGATTAAATTGGTCTTCTGGTGATCAGTGGTTAATATGGTTTCATACAAATTATTCTGAGATTGCAAGGCCTTTCTTATTAAAACTGGAAACAGAGCACTAGCTATTGACAGAACTTATACCAACATTTGGGTGTGTGGATAAGAAATTATAAAGTCTTTTAGCATCTTTTTGACTGAAAATACTTTTTACAGAGAACTATTTAAACCCAGCAGCTCAAGTGTAACTTCTTATCTTTAATATTTATTACAAATATAAAATTGTCAATTTTTCCCACCTAAATTCTACTTAAAACCACACAGTAGCTCTTATTAATAGAATAAAAATCTTTCTAAAAGAGAGAATATAAGGAATCACTTTAAAAAGTCAATACCTTTCGCTGTTAAAGAGAAAGAAGGGAAAAAGTACAGTGAAACCTTCCAGAACTCGGCAGGAAAAGCGTCATAAGCTGCAAAAAAAGCTATTCTGCTTCCTAGATGGATATTGGTCTCCATTCTCAATATTCAGGTTCAGAATCTCATCCTCTCCTTCCTAAGACCTTACTCAGCAGACAGTTCAAACTGACTGTTCTTCCCAAATCACAGATCTGATCATATTGCTTCCCTATGTAAGCTTCTCTGATGATTTCCTATTACTTAGAAAATTCTGATTTCCTAGAAAGTTATTAAGGCCTTCTATATTCTTGTCCCTGTCTACACTTGAAACATCCCTGAAATGCTGGCACCTCCAGCTACCCTAAAAGATTCATAGATCTTAGAGCATGCCAGGCTCCATCATGCCTGTGTCCTCACCATGAAAATCTTTGTCTCCAATTATCTTTTCCACAGTTTCCTTTGTTAAATCCTATTCAACAATCACTATGACGAACAGTTTGATGTTATCAAGTAAAATTAGTCAGACACTTGCTTGCCTTATGACTCAAAATGTTATTCTCAGATATATGATGAAGAAAAATACATACATATGGACAGCAAAAGATATGTACCTGAAATGTTCATGTCATCATTATTTGTAAGAGCCAAAAGCTGAAAATAACCAAATTTTCATCAACAGTAGATAAACTATATATATATATATATATATATATATATATATATATATGAATGAAATGGAATACCACAGAGCAATAAAAATTAATGAAAAGTTGCAATATGCAACAAAATGACCACTCCAAGAAGCAAAATATAGACCAAAATACCCTAATATGAGAGCATATATACTGTGTGGTTTCATTTACATAAAATTAAACTACAGGTAAAACTAGTCTGTGATGTTAAATATCAAGTGTATTAGTCTGTTCTCATGCTGTTAATTAACACATAACAAAGACAGGGTAATTTATAGAGAAAAGAGGTTTAATTGATGCACAGTTCCACATGGCTGAGGAGGCCTCACAATCATGGCAGAAGGCAAATAAGGAGAAAAGTCACATTTTACATGGTGGCAGGCAAGATACCATGTGCAAGGGACTCCCCTTTATAAAACCAGATTTGTGAGATATATTCACTATCATGAGAACAACATGAGAAAGATCCACTCCCATGATTCAATTACCACTTACCAGGTACCTCCCATGACACACGGGGATTACGGAAACTACTAATTCAAAATGAGATTTGGGTGGGGATAAAGTCAAACCATATCATTCTACCCCGATCCCTTTCAAATCCTATATCCTCACATTTCAAAACCAATCATGCCTTCTCTATAAGACCCCAAAGTCTTAACTCATTTCAGCATTAACACAAAAGACCACAGTCCAAAGTCTCATCTGAGACAAAGCAAGTCTCTTCTGCCTACGAGCCTATAAAATTAAAAGCAAGTTAGTTACTTCCTAGATACATGGGGGTATAGGCATTGGGTAAATGCACCCTTTCCAAATAGGAAAAATAGGCCAGAATGAAGGAATTGAAGACCCCATGCAAGTCTGAAACCCAGTGGGTCAGTCAAATCTTAGAGCTCCAAAATGATTTCCTTTGACTCTATGTCTCACATCTAGGTCATGCTGATAAAAGAGGTAGGCTCCCACAGCCTTGGACAGCTCTGCCCTGTAGCTTGGCAGGACACAGCTCACCAACCCCCTGCCCTGGCTACTTCCAAGGGCTGGTGTTGAGTGTCTGCAGCTTTTCCAGGCATGCAGTGCAGACTGTCAGTGGATCTACCATTCTGGGGTCTGGAGGACGGTGGCTCTCTTTTCACAGATCTGCTAGGCAGTGCCCCAGTGGTGACTCTGTGCGGGGGTTCGCACCCCACATTTCTCTTCACACTGCCCCAGCAGAGGTTCACGAGGGCCCTGCCCCTGCAGCAAACTTCTGCCTGGACATCCAAGCACTTCCATACATCCTCTGAAATCTAGGCAGAGGTTTTCAAACCTCAGTTCTTGACTTCTGTGCACCACAGGCTCAACACCTAATGGAAGCCACCAAGGCTTGGGGCTTGCACCCTCAGAAACAATGGCCTGAGCTCTATGTCAGTCCCTTTTTGCCATGGCTAGGACACAGGCACCAAGTCCTGAGACTACACAAATCAGCAATGCCCTGCGCCCAGCCCATGAAACCATTTTTCCCTCCTAGGCCTCTAGATCTGTAATGGGAGGGCTGCCATGCAGACCTCTGACATGCCCTGGAGACATTTTCCCTAATGTCTTGGTGGTTAACATTTGAGTCCTTGTTACTTATGCAAATTTCTGTGGCAAGCTTGAATTTCTCTTCAGAAAATAGGTTTTTATTTTCTATCACACCATTAGGCTGCAAATTTTCCAAACTTGAATGCTCTGCTTCCTCTTAAACACTGCTCCTTAGCAATTTCTTGTCAGATACCCTAAATCATTTCTCTCAAGTCCAAATTTCCACAGATCTCTAGCAAAGGGGGCAAAATACTACCAATCTCTTTGCATAGCAAGAGTAAGCTTTACGCCACTTCCCAACAAGTTCCTCATCTCCATCTGAGATCACTTCAGCCTGAACTTCATTGTCCAAGTCAGTATCAGCATTTTGGTCAAAGTCATCCAACAAGTCTCTAGGAAGTTCCAAACTTTCCCACATCTTCCTGTCTTTTGAGCCCTCCAAGTCTCTAGGAAGATCCAAATTTCCCACACTGTCCTATCTTCTTCTGAGCCTATGATTCAGAAGAATACCAGGCCCCTCCCATGACATGTGGGAATTATGAAAACTACAATTCAAGATGAGATTTGGATAGGGACATAGCTAAACCATATCATCAACACAGTGGTTAGTTTTAGGGAAGACGGGTGGATAGTGATTAGGACAAGGCAGAATGGAGCTTCTAGATGCTTGAAATGTTTTGCTTCTATTTCAGAATAATTCATCAACCTGTACACTGAAGGTGTGGGCACACTTTCATATGTATATTACACATCAGGAAGAAGTTTTTGGTTTAATTTCTGCTTTTCAAAGTCAAGATCAAGCAGTATCTTTTTCCATAAAGTCTTGACTGATCTCTCCCATTTAGAATCACTTGTCTCTTTCTTTGACTTCCCTTTGAGCCTGATTTTTCTCTCTCTCTCAAGGTACTTAATTAACATGCTTTGAATTTTAAGCATGATTGTAACTCATATGACATAGATCAGGTAATTCAAGAAACCCTAACCAAATGAAGCAAAAAAATTGAGATAATTGGAAAGAAAAATGTGGCAACTCCTTCATGTCAGCTTTGTTTAAATTGGGTTTGGGTTGATCCCTCAGCTTTGCAATGGTACATAGAATTGTCCTCGCTACTTCCTTCTGCTGAAGTCAAGTTCTTTTCTCTACCTTTCTTCTTATCCAACTGTGCAATGTTGCTGTTTATTGTTTTGGTGAAACAGGTTGCAACATGGTGTATGTTTCCAAATATTGGAAAGCAATGAGAAAAGCCACCTAGCAAATTAAGAGTGTTACTACTTTCTGTCTCCAATTTTTTTAAACAGGGGGAAGATTCAGGAAATTGTTCAACTAAGCCATCTCCAGGAGCTCAGCAATGATATTAAGTCCCCAGCCAGAGTTTTTGTGGCATGTGGAGAAAAGCTGCCAGGTTAATCTATACTTAAGAAACCCAGATCTGCAGGAAGTCTTTCTTCTGGAACACATATCCTCAGAATCAGCTATAATTCTACTAGAAATATTCATCTCACTGCCTCTTGTAGTCCCAAGTGACCACTACACTAGATTCCCAGGGACACTTGTAAATTGCTTTGAAAACCTTTAGATCTGACCCTCTTTCCCAGAGCAAACAGCCCTCCTGAGGCTGAGGTTTTCAGAGTCACTGAGCAGTTCTAGATGGCTGCAGTCTTAATAATCTGTGCTAAGGTATGTCTTCCCTCTTCCTGGCTCTACCACATCAAGGCGCATATGATGCACTCACTGAGGACAAACTATGTCCTTCTCCACAGTGCTTTGCCCCAAGTAGGTAATTGCTTCTTGACCTATTGGATGAAATATGGGATAAGGTGAAAATCATTTTTATTTCCCTGGCTCAATTTTTCAACATATGTAAAATGAGCAATTACCCTTCTGAGCAGGAAGATGCTCTGAGCTTTGAAATGTTCCCATTGCAATTTTTATTTACTCAATTGCAACTTTTTAAAAACGGAAAGAGAGAAAGAAAGAAAAAGAAAAAAGACGTTCAAAGTTACTCTCAGCCAGATTCCCCAAACCTGAGAGAATGTGTCCATTTGGTGACATGTGACCACCAGCGTATTTAATTAATCCATTAGAAAATTTCATTCAGGCTTTTAATAATATTGTTTTATCTGCCCCTTGCTCCTTACTACTGCATCACAAAGTCTTCCCTGACTCTTCTTGCCTATTTCCTTTCAACAGATTTAAAGACAATCTTGATATTTCTTTTCTGGAGTATGTTTCCTCGGAAACACTAGAAGTTGAAGTCCCACTGTTTATAACAGGCTGCTTTTGTTTTCTCCAAGCTACCCTTTGGAGAGAGCCTCCTAGTTGAAATGCTACATTTCTAAGCTACTAAATCTTATTTATCTAGTCACCAGGCACTTTGCTATACCACTCTTCCATTGTTTTACTGTTTTAAACAGACATGGAGCCCGTCTTCCTTTAGGCAGTACAAGCACTAGGCTTTTGGTCATGCTAGCTGCTGTAACAAACAAATCTCCACTGTTCAATGATTGAACTCAACAAAACTGTATTTGATGCTTATGTTGGTGTGTTTTACATATGGAAGATACAGGTAAGCAAGCAACATTCCTCCAATAAGTGATTTAGAGACCCAGGTCCTGTCTGTTTTGGTGAGGTACCATCCTCTGGAACCTTGAAAACCTCTGCATCAAATCAGAGGAAGAGAAAAGAGAGTGAAGAAGACATATGACTTTAAAAAAAATAGGAGTCTAAAAGTTATAGCCCTCCTCCTGTTCACATGCCCTGTCTGGGTAACTGCCTTCCAATAGCACCACCAGATTATGAAGGGTAAGCATGGAATTTTGTGGACAGTTAGCCAACTCTACCATGATGCCATAGCATTGCTGCCACAAAGGCCTTCTCAATTTCTTAAATGATTTATAACATTCTTCTCTTACAACTTCATCAATAAATGAAATACTTTTTGGAAATTATTATATGGGAGGCATAGTACTGGGCCATGGGAATATAAAAATGTGGTCTTTGATCTCAAGGATCTCACATTTGGTTCCAAAGAAAATATAGGTATTTAATCAATAAAAGAATGTGACTGAACAGCCATGCTGATACTCACAACTTAGTGAAGAACAGAGATATTAATTAATTATTAAATGTATAAGTGATTAAGGTATAGAAAAATAGAAATACCAAGGGATATGGAAACAAACAGGAATTAATTTGATGGGAAGATTGAGGAAGTTAAGGAAAATGAACAAAAAGTTTTTATGATGAAATATTCTACACAGACAGGCTAATCCTTTAGTTGATTGGTCTTCAACATTTTGCTCACTTCTCCTCAAAAATAATTTTGAATTAATATACATTCACATTTTAAGTTGAATCTGAAGTTTTTCATTACAAATTGACATAAGCAAGCTTAACTTTGTCAGAAATGTTGTCTTTCCTCCACAAATGCACATTTTTATTAAATTTATTGCTTAGAATTTCGGGTGTTTTATGCTTGAAAGTTTGTTTTTTTTAAAAAAAAGAAATTCTCACCTTATAACATGTATTTGTCAAAACTATACTTATCTAAGTTCAAATTTAATTTTTAAAATATTTCAAGTATTAGACAAAGTGTTAATGGCTATTTTCTGGATTATTATACTATTAACATATAAGTGATGGAGGTGGAAACAGAATTATCACTAAGTTTCAGGCTGTGAAGAATGTTTTACTATAAAGAAGAGGCATGAGGGAATTTTAGGGGAATGAATGTTTCTGTATCTTGACTGTGGGGTAGTTACATGACTCTACAAATTTATCAAAATTTATAGGACTTAATACCAACAAAGGATAAATTTAAGAAACAAATGTATACAAATTTGACCATTTCTCCTTGCAGCTATATTCTTTTTTCCTCCTGATACTCCGCAGCTTGCATTTCAACAAAATATAATTTATCACAGAAGACCTTCTCTTTGGAAATATTTTTCTCAACTTTATATACATTTTTATCAAGTTACTGCTACCATCTTACCTAGATTCAGCAAATCCTGAAAAATATTCTATTGGTATTGCCCTGTTGAAAAGCTTACTTTCCTCCCATTTGATAGATTAGGTATTATGCTCACTACCTAGGTGACAAAATCATTTGCATCCCAAACCTTTGTGTTATACAATATACCCATGTAACAAGCTGCAAATGTACCCCCTGAATTTAAAATAATTTGCTTTGTTTTTTGTTTGTTACAGTCTAGCATTCTTTTTAATTTCCACTTGACTCTACTCCATAGACTTTTTTTTCCTTAAAATTAAGAATGATTAGAGAACTTGATTTTTAATGACCACTTAGCATTCCATTATATGAAGCTAACAATCTATTTAACAAATCCCTTAGTGTTTTGGGAATATAAGTAAATAGTCTTCCTATTTGGTTGTTTTAATATTTTTTGTTATTATATACAACACTGCTAGGAACCTCCTTGGAAATAAATCTTTCTGAACATTTCTAGTGATTCCCTTAGGATAAATTGTTATAAATGGAATTGCCTTATCAAACATAAACCCTTTGATCCATATAAACAAATGACTTTACCAATGGTTGTGACAATTCACACTCCCACCATAAAGCTGAAGAGTTTATTTTCCTCTGAACAATTGCCAGCCCTAAGTACTATGATTTTTTTTAAAGCTTAGTTAAGATGACAAGTAAAGTATATGTCTCACTGTTTTAATTTTCATTTTTTTATTACTAGTGATATTTTCATATATTTGTTGGCTATTTGTAGTTTCTTTAGTTTTATTAAAAATAATTTCAACTTTTATTTTAGATTCAGGGGGTACATTTGCATGCTTGTTACATGGGTATATTGTATAATCCAAAGGTTTGGGATATAAATGATTTTGTCACCTAGGTAGTGAGCATAATGCCTAACAGTTTTTTAATCCTTGTCTCTCACCCTTTCCTCTCCCCTCTAGTAGTCTCCAGTGTCTATTTTTGTCATCTTTATATCTGTGAATATCTAATGTTTAGCTCCCACTTGTAAGTGAGATCATGTGGTATCTGGTTTTCCATTCCTGTATTAATTCACTTGTGATAATGGCCTCCAGTTGCAACCATATTGCTGCAAAGGAGATTATCTTCTTCTATCTTATGGCTGCATTATATTCCATAGTATATACATATCACATTTTCTTTATCCCATTCACCATGGGTACATAGGTTAATTCCTTTTCTTTGTAAGTGTGCATAGAGGTGAGGTGAACATGCAAGTACTGTGTCTTTTACATTCGTTAGGATATACACTCAATAATAGGATGCTGGGTGGAATGGTAGTTTTAAGTCCTCTGAAAAAAATCTGCAAACTGCTTTCCACAGTGGCAGAACATTACCACCAACCGTGTAGAATCATTCCCTATTCTCTGCAGTATCTATTTTTTTTTAACTTTTATTAATAGACATTTTGAATGCTGGGAGGTTGTATCACATTGTGGTTTTGATTTGCATTTCTCTGTTGATTAGTGATGTTGAACATTTTTGTATGTTTCTTGGCCCCTTGCTATGTCTTCTTTTCAGAAGTGTCTGTTCATGTCTTTTGTCAACTTTTTAATGAATTTATTAATATTTGTCTTTTGCTTGTTATGTTTCTTATAGTTCTGGATAGCAGACCTTTGTTAGATGCATACTTGTACTATTGCAAATATTTTCTGCTATTCTGTAGGTTATATAGGCTATCTGCCTTTTAAGTGGGGCATTTAGACCATTTACATTCAAGGTTAATATTGATGTGTGAAGTTTTGATCCTATTGTAAAGTTTTTATTGGGTTGCTTTGTAGTTTCTATTGTGTGATTGCTTTATAGGTTCTGTGGGATATGTACTTAAATGTGTTTGTGGTAGCAGGTATTATTCTCTTGTTTCCATATTTAGAACTCTCTTAATGATCTCTTATAAGGCTGGTCTAGTGGTAAAATTTCCCTGAGTGCATGCTTGTCTGGAAAAGATTTTATTTCTCCCTTGCTTATGAATCTTAGTTTGGCAGGATACGAAATTCTTGGTTAGAATTTACTTTCTTTTCTTTTTTTTTTTTTTTTTTTTTTGGTTTGGGATGGAGTTTTGCTCTTGTTACCCAGGCTGGAGTGCAATGGCGCAATCTCGGCTCACCGCAACCTCCACCTCCTGGGTTCAGGCAATTCTCCTGCCTCAGCCTCCCGAGTAGCTGGGATTACAGGCACGCACCACCATGCCCAGCTAATTTTTTGTATTTTTTTAGTAGAGACGGGGTTTCACCATGTTGACCAGGATGTTGTCAATCTCTTGACCTCGTGATCCACCCACCTCGGCCTCCCAAAGTGCTGGGATTACACGCTTGAGCCACTGCGCCCGGCCAGAATTTACTTTCTTTAAGAATGCTCAAAATAGGCCCCCAATCTCTCCTGCCTTTTAATGTTTCTGCTGAAAATCTGCTGTTAGCCTGATGAAGTTCCCTTTGTATGTGATATGCCCTTTTTTTCTAGGTGTCTTTAGGCTTTTATTCTTTAGTATTGACCTTGGAAAGTCTGGTGACTATATGCTTTAGTGATGTTAATTTTGTATAGTATTTCACAGTTGTTCTATGGATTTCTTGTATCTGGATGTCTATCTCTCTAGCAAGATTAGGTGAATTTTCTTGAATTATTCTCTGAAATATGTTTGCCAGGTTATTTACTTTTTCTCCTCCTCTCTCAGAAATGCCAATAATTTGTAGGTTTGGACATTTTGCATAATCCTATATTTCTTGAAAACTTTGTGTTCATTTTTAAAATTCTTTTTTTATTTTTGTCTAACTATGTTAGTTCAAAAGATGAGTCTTTAGGCTCTGAAATTCTTCTTCTGCTTGGTCTAGTCTAATAATAAAATTTTCAATTGTATTTTGAAATTCCTTAAGTGAGTTTTTTAATTCTTTTTTTTTGTTTTTGAGACGGAGTTTTGCTCTTGTTACCCAGGCTGGAGTGCAATGGCGCGATCTCGGCTCACCGCAACCTCCGCCTCCTGGGTTCAGGCAATTCTCCTGCCTCAGCCTCCTGAGTAGCTGGGATTA